ACACTACATAACAACACTTTAAAGAAATTGAGGAAGTGATTACTGTGAAAGTCAGAATCATTGTTAATTTGGGCGGCAGAGAATGGACTGTGGGTGGCCTGGAAAAATTCCATTTCTTGATTTGTGTGCTGGGCTCCAAGGGTATTTAGCTTATAATAATTCATTAAGCCATGCATTTTTGCATACTGTGTATATATGTATTTATTTTCCAGTAAAAAGTTAACCAATCCAATCAAAAGGCAGAGACTGTCAGGCTGGATTAAAAATCATGACCCAAATTTAGATTCTAAGAAACAAGCAGGTTGAATGTAAAATAATGGATAAAAAGACGTAGCAGGTAAACTAAACAACAACCACAAGAAAGTGGAAGTGGCTATAGATATGCACCTAATACTGAAACATCAAAACACACCAAGCAAAACGGACAGAAATGTGAGGGAAAGATAATTCAACAATCGTTGGATACTTCAGTACCCTACTCTCAATAATAGATGGAACAACCGGACAGAAGATTGCTGAGGAAATAGAAGACTTGAATAATACTACAAACCAACTAGACCTAACAACATCTATAGAACATGTCACTTAACAACAGAATATATACTCTTCTCAAGTGCACATAAAACATTGTCCAGGAAGGACATATGCTAGGGAATAAAATAAACATCAATACATTAAATAGGGTAGAATAATAAAAAGTGTGCTCTTCAGTCACAATGAATAAAATTAGAAATCAATAGCAGAAAAAAACAGGAAATATTACAAATATGTAATAATACTCCCCAATAACCAATGAGTCAAGGAGGAAATAAAAAAAGGATTCAGAAAGTGGTTGGGCACAGTGGCTCACACCTGTAATCCCTGCACTTTGGGAGGCCGAGGTGGGTGGATCACCTGAGGTCAGAAGTTCAAGACCAGACTGACCAATATGGTGAAACCCTGTCTCTAGTAAAAATACAAAAATTAGCTGGGCATGGTGGCACATGCCTGTAGTCCCAGCTACTCGGGAGGCTGACACAGGGAGAATTGCTTGAACCCAGGAGGTGGAGGTTGCAGTGAGCTGAGATCACACCACTGCACTCCAGCCTGAGTGACAGGGTGAGATTCTGTCCAAAAAAAAAAAAAAAAAAAAGAATTCAGAAACTACTTTGAGGTAAATGAAAATAAAGATCAATATACCAAAAATTTATAGGATGCAGCTGAAGCAAAATTTATAGAAGAATTTATCATCATAAATGTCTATATTGAGAAAGAAGAAAAACAAAAAAAACTTGTATGTAAATGTTTCAAGCAGCATTCTTCATAGTAGCCCAAAGTGGAAACAACCCAAATGCCATCAACTGACAGATGAACAAATGTGCTACGTGACACAATAGACTGTTATTGGGCCAGAAAAAGGAATGAAGTACTGATACCTGAAAAAACATGGATGGATCTTGGAAATGCTATGCTAAGTGAAAGATGCCAGTCACAAAAGAATATACATTATATGATTCCATTCATGTGAAATTCCAGAACAGAGAAGTCTACAGAGACAGAGGTGGAATAGTAATTACTTAGGGCTGAGAGAGGATGGGGGTGGTGGATACAGGGATGATTGCAAAAGGTGTGAGGTTGCATTTGAAATGCTCTTAAATTGACTGGGGTGATGAGTGCAAATATCTATGAATATACTAAAACCATTGAAGTGTACACTTTAAGTGGGTGACTTGGTTGGTATCTGAATTACATATCAATAAAGTTTTTAAAAAGCTAAAAGTGTTTAGAAACATTGTTGTAAGTACCTCTGAATACCCGAGTAAGACATATTTGGGAGGATCTGTAAATTCAGATTTAACCAATATAATGATATTAAACATTAGAAGTTTAGTTTTACTCATCTTTATCCAATGTAAACTGTATTTTATACTAATATTATAATAGAATAAACTCCACTTTTTATATTTAATGTCTTCATCATTTTCTAATATTTCAACTCAATTTTTGTAATCAGCTATTTTAAAAGTCTGTATACAATTTCAAGGAGTGAATGTGCTAAAGTTTATGTAATAATTCTCCCTATCTCCTGTAAGAAACTGTCAAACCATTTTCCAAAGTGGTTGTACCATTTTGCATATCTACCTGAAATACATCAGAGTTCCAGTTGCTCTGCATCCTCACCAGTGCTCTGTGTTGTTAGCTTTTAAAAAGCTATTCTGGCCAGGCACAGTGGCTCATGCCTGTAATCCCAGCACTTTGGGAGGCTGAGGCAGGTTCAAGACCAGCCTAGCCGACATGGTAAAATCCCATCTCTACTAAAAATACAAAAAATTAGCTGCATGTGGTGGCAGGTACCTGTAATCCCAGCTACTCCAGAGGCTGAGGCAAAAGAATCCCTTGAACTGCAGAGGCAGAGGATATAGAGGCAAAAGAATCGCTTGAACCCCAGAGGCAGAGGTTGCAGTGAGCCAAGGTCAGTCATTGCATTCCAGCCTGGGCAACAAGAGCGGAACTCCATCTCAAAAAAAAAAAAAAAAAGCTATTCTAATAGGCGTGCAGCAAGATCTAATTATAGTTTTGATCTGCACTTCTCTAATTATGCTGATGAATATCTTTTCATGTGTTTATTTGCTACTCATATCTTTTTGGCTGTTTACATCTTTTTCCAGTTTTTCTAAAAGTTGGCTTATTTGATTTCTTATTGAATTGTGAGAGTTTTTAAAATCCATATTATTTATACAAGGCCTTCATCAGATATGTGATTTACAAATATCTTCCCCCAGTTTGTGGCTTGTCTTCAATATCTTAACCGTATTTTTAGAAGAAAAGACATTTAAAATTTTTATTGTCTAATTTGTTAACTTTTAATTAATTAATTTTGCTAACTTTGTTTGCAGAGACTATTTTTGTGTGGTAGGAAATAGGGAGATGTTGAAGAATTTTCAGCAGGGGAGCAGCATATTGAAAGAGACATTAGGACAAAAATTAGTTTGAGTGTAGACAACAATATAAATTGAAGTAGAAATAAATCTAGGGTAAGAGAAATTAGCTGTTACAATAAATTAGGCGTGAAATAAATGAGGAAGTTAGGTAAGTATAGTAACAACCAGAATGATACCTTATTAAAATTTCATCTATCTGCTTAACTAGAATCTGCTAATGATTGAATAGATTTTCTTACAGCCAGGGTTACTTTGGACGACTCCAAAGGGAAATCCAGAGACCTCCCTCATCAGCAACATGAGGAGGCCCAACCTCCTTAATCCTATTTGGCCTGTCCCTCAAATGCCCCCTTTAAGAAAATGTGTATCACAGTTTTCCATTCAGTCAGGAAACATAAACTTTTTAGGATGCAATTTAGTCATAATGCTTATGTCTATTAGTTATTGCTATATCACAAACCACTTCAAAAGTTAGGGTCTTAAAACAACCATCAGCCGGGTGCTGTAATCCTGGGCCGAGGCGGGCAGATCACTTGAGGTCAGGAGTTCGAGACCAGCTTGGCCAACGTGGTGAAACCACATCTCTACTAAAAATATAAAAATTAGCCAGGCATGGTGGTGGGTGCCTGTAATTCTAGCTGCTGGAGAGGCTGAGGGAGGAGAATCACTTGAACCCAGGAGGCGGAGGTTGCATTGAGCTGAGATCGTGCCACTGCACTCCAGCCTGGGCGACGGAGCAAGGCTCTGTCTCAAAACAACAACAAGAACAACAACAACAACAACAAACCAAAAAAACAAAAACAAAAAAACAGAACCAAAAAAAAAAAACCCCAAAAAATCCAAAACATCATTTACTTAGCTCATGATTCTGAAGATTGACCATTTGGGGTGGGAACAGCTAGGTTCTTCTGGTTCCTTCTGGGTCCTCTACTTGGCTACAGATGGCTTTGTTGATCTTGGCTGAGCTCTCTCAAATGTCCTGGTGCCTTGGCTGGCTTATTGAAGCCCAGGCTCAGCATTAACAAGTGCCTTCCACGGTATTTAATTGGACAAAATAAGTCAAAGGGAGCCCAGATTCAAGGAGTGCATACGAGGAGGGGAATACTCGTAGGCATTTTTGCAAACAGTATACTTTGGTGTTTGCCTTCAGACCTGAGATACGGTCATGTCTGTGACATTCTTGGAAAGAAAAGCATCCTAGAGACCTTTCTAGGAGTTATTGGTGAAGGAAGTATTTATAAGATAAACTTTCATTAAATTCATTGTAGCAGGATCTGGGAATTAGGATCTCAAGGGGAAATCCCAACCCTTGTTGTTTGCTTCCCATAAGAATAAGAAACAGCAGCATTATCAAGTGCTGTACTTTACTACAAATATTAACCGGCAACAATTGACCCTCTCTGGGACTTTCCATTTAGTTATTTACTGGAAGCTGTTCCTGTAATTTTCAACAGTGCTGTTATCTATGAGATTATTTTTCTCTTAGCTGTGCTGGGTTTTCAGGTGCATTAATATAGCTTAATATCTCCTCCTATTGCTTCTCTAATTAAAAGCTTGTTGGATTTCCAAATAAGAAATAACATACACAAGCCCTGGTAATACAGGCTGCTAATAATTGGGAGAAAAACTTCAGCAAGGCGTGAGGGATCTTATGATCGGGCAAACAAAGAGGCCTAGAAGTCTGAGGGGGATTGCAGGGCAGTGATCTGGCTCTGAGCAGCTGGCCTCCCTGAGAGGGGCTGCTGCAGATGGAGGGCCGCCAATGGGCAGCCTGAATATAGTGCATGTGTCCTGTCCCGAGGTGGATGTTTGAATTCTGGGTCCCAGAGAACAGCTAATGTCTGTCTTTCCAATCACTGCCTGTATCCTTTCCTGCTTCCCCAAGTCCCTCATTCCTCTCCTCTTGGCGGCTTTTGCCCTCTTTGGTCCAGGCCGCAGGAAATCTTTCCTCTAGTTCTAAGAATTGGCCACTAGATGGCACTAGCTGTTCGGATTAAAGTGCTTTCCTGCGCTCCACAGGCCCAGGGCGAGGGCAGGCAGGGTCTGAAGACAGCTTCTCTCGGCCACCGTCATTCTCTCTCCCACTTCGCTCTTCACTTCTCATCGCTTCCTCGTTCCATTTAAACATTAGATTCCTTCCAGCAGCGGTGTTTGCGTGATTTCGAAGGTAGGGAAACTGTGTGTTTGGTATGGTGGGGTGCCCGTGGAAGAAAGGGAGTTTGTAGGTTCCACAAGAACCTTAGATGCCCCCTAAGGACGCAGATCGAACTCCCGGCAAGAGAAACAGCTACTGCCTCCCTCACTCATGCCATGAGCGCTGGCCTCAAGAATCCCTGCTGAGCGGTTCTATAGCCCCTCAGACTGAGTTCTTGGTTGTGCGGTGGCTCACGCCACCCAGCACTTTGGGAGGCCGAAACGGGTGGATCACTTGAGGTCAAGAGTTGGAGACCAGCCTGGCCAACATGGCGAAATCCAGTGTCTACTAAAAATACAAAACAATTAGCTTGGCGTGGTAGCGGGCACCTGTAATCCCAGCCACTCGGGAGGCTGAGGCAGGAGAATCGGTTGAACCTTGGAGGCGGAGGTTGCAGTTAGCCAAGATCGGGCCACTGCATTCCAGCCTGGGCAGCAGAGTGAGACTCGGTCTCAAACATAAATAAAGTAGGCCGGGCGCCATGGCTCATGCCTGTAATCCCAGCACTTTGGGAGCCCGAGGCGGGCGGATCACGAGGTCAGGAGATCGAGACCCATCTGGCTAACACGGTGCAACCCCCTCTGTACTAAAAATACAAAAAATTACTCGGGCATGGTGGCGGGTGCCTGTAGTCTCAGCTGCTCCGGAGGGTGAGGCAGGAGAATGGCGTGAACACGGAAGGCGGAGCTTGCAGTGAGCCGAGATCGCGCCACTGCACTCCAGCCTGGGCCACAGAGTGAGACTCTGTCTCAAAATAAAATAAAAAATAAATAAAATAAATAAAACAAAATAAAACACAAAAATTGAACTCTTCCTTTTCTCCATCCTCTCACCCTAATCCATTCTTCTTTTTATAGTTTCATCCTCACTGATGTGAATTTTTTGTTGTTGTTGTTTTGTTTTACTGTTTTTTGAGACAAAGTCTCGCTCCATCACCCAGGCTGGAGTGCAGTGGTGCGATCTCGGCTCACTGCAACCTCCACTTCCAGGGTTCAAGCAATTCTCCTGCCTCAGCCTCCCGGGTAGCTGGGATTACAGGGGCCCACTACCACACCCAGCTAATTTTTGTATTTTTAGTAGAGACGGGGTTTCATCATGTTGGTCAGGCTGGTCTCGAACTTCTGACCTCAGGCAATCCACCCACCTCGGCCTCCCAAATTGCTGGGATTTCAGCCGTGAGCCACCAGGCGGCCTGATGTCACCTTTTCACCCAATCATTTCTGGAAGCTAAAAGCCATCCTATTTTCTTACATAAGTCTAGTGCCTTTTCCAATCTACTACCTTAATGCTCCCTAACTTCATGGCTGCCCCTACCCCTCCCTTTCCTCTCCGTTTGTACTGAATAATGGCACCGGTTTTTGGATCACCTATTTGTTTAATTACACAAGCCCCGGTTTTGACAGTGGGGATACAGCAGTGACTTCCAAGCCGAAACTTTAAGAATGAGTTTAAGTTAGCCAGGCAAATAGGGGTAACAGCATTCTTGATAGAGCAGATTTCAGCTAGGAGTGACTTTGCCTGGAAGGAGCCATTTGACAATGTCCATGACTAGACATTTTTGGTTGTTACAATTGGGGAAGGGAGTGGGGTTTGCTCCTGACATCTAATGGGGAGAGGCCAAAGATGCTCTAAACATCCAGCAATGCCCATGACAGTCCCCAACAACAAATATTTAGCTCCCAAGTGTTAGTAGTGCTAAGCTTGAGAAACCTGTGATAGAGAAAGCTGCAAGAGAATATGGTTTTTTTTGAGAACAGAGTTTTATTAGAATGGGAATGAAGGTTGGGAGATGTTAGTAGGGACCGGGGTGTGCAGAGCTGCACCAGGGAGTTTGTACTGTCTCCCAAGGCCAATGGAAGTAACTGGAGATATTGGCTCCACTAGAAACTCTGTTCCAAGGGCCATTGAAAGCCCTTGGGGGGAAGCTATGGACCCTCACAAATACGTGGTGAATGAATACACTCCATTCCAGGCCTTTTTGTCCAGACCTCTGTAAGTAAATACTGATATGCTATCAGCCTTTTGAACTAAACCAGAAGTATAGTATTCACTTATTTCATAAACAAGCAGAGTAATTGAACTTGCGTGACAAAGCACTATTCTGTACTTTTCATAAAGATTTTTACTTTTCATCATCCTGATGTGTCCAGAATCGGTTCCTTCCAGGTGGGTTCTCTGTCTGGCTGACTTCAAGAATGAAGCCACAGACCCTTGCTGTGAGCGTTAAAGTTCTTAAAGATGGTGTGTGCAGTGTTTGTTCCTTCAGATGTTCAGATGTCCAGAGTTTTTTCTTTCTGGTGGGTTCGTGGTCTCTCTGGCTTCAGGACTGAAGCTTCAGACCTTCCCGGTGTTAGTGGTGGCACAGAGGCAGAGGGAGCAGCAATAACAGTTATTGCACACAGCCTGCAAGGAAACAAGACCTGGTTGGTGACGCAAGAGTGGGTGGCCTGCTTTTATACCCTTATTTGACCCCACCCACATCCTGCTGATTGGTCCATTTATAGAGTGCTGATTGGTCCATTTTACAGAGTGCTGATTGGTCCGTTTTGACAGAGTGCTGATTGGTGCATTTACAAACCTTTAGCTAGACACAGAGCACTGATTGGTGCATTTACAATCCTTTAGCTGGACAGAAAAGTTATCCAAGTCCCCACCCAGCGCAGAAGCCCAGCCAGCTTGCTGACAGCCCTATGTAATAAAGTATCTTTTTGTTTTTTAAATCCTTATTCTTTCAGATAAGAACACAGAAGCCCAGGGAAGATAAGTAACCTCCCAAACATCGCACAGCAGGTAAGTAATAAGGTCGAGAGTTTAATCCAGAGTTGCAAGATGGCAGAGTCCAAGTTCACAGCCATAAGCTATACTGTTGCTATGCTATTTTGCTATATTTTCAAAGAGTAACAAAAGTAAGTGATCACCCATCTTTTATATGTTTCAAGGCTACTATTCACGTCTTTTATATATGTCAAGGTTACTATTCCAGTAGCCTTGAAAATAGAACATAGATTTAATGTACTTTCTTAGAAAACTTTGTTCTATGTGTATTCATTTTTTAAATAGTATAATCCAATAATAGTTGGAAAGAACTTGAAAAAAATACACTCCACATACTTATGGTCATAACAAATAAGCATTGAATTAAAAAGTTAGGAATAAAATAATCAAATGAACCCAAGAAAAGCAGAAAAAATAAAAGCAGAAATGTATATATTAGAAAACAGAAACATCTATAGAAACTAAATAAATGCACGAGTTTGTTGTTTGAAAAATCAGAGAAATATATAAACTATTAGGTCATCTAATCGTTTTTTAAAAGGAAGACATAAAGCCATGTATTAGAAATGACAATGTAGAACTAACTGCAAAACCAGAGGAAAGTAAATGAACCAGCACAACATGATTTTTGCTCGGTATTTACAAATACACCTATATGAAATTGTAGGAAAATATGAAGTAACAAAATGTATCTTTTTTTTTTTTGAGATGGAGTCTCACTCTGTAGCCCAGGCTGGAGTACAGTGGTGCTGTCTCGGCTCACTGCAAGCTCCACCTCCCTGGTTCACGCCATTCTCCTACTTCAGCCTCCCGAATAGCTGGGACTACAGGCACCTGCCACCACGCCCAGCTAATTTTTCATATTTTTAGTAGAGACGGGGTTTCACTGTGTTAGTCAGGATGGTCTCGATCTCCTGACCTCGTGATCTGCCGGCCTTGGCCTCCCAAAGTGCTGGGATTACAGGCATGAGCCACCACACCTGGCCAATTATACTCTTAGCTATCTTAAAAAATCCAATTATACTCTTAGCTATCTTAAAATGTATCATTTAAATTATTATTGACTATAGTCGCCGTATTGTGCTATCAAATACTAGGTCTTATTCTTTCTTTCTACTTTTTTGTACCCACTAACCATCCCCACATTCCCCTCCCCCTCCTGTACACCCTCCACCCCAGTTAGCCTTCCCAGCCTCTGGTAACCTTCCTTCTACTCTCTAGCTCCATGAGTTTCATTGTTTTATTTATTAGCTCTCACAAGTAATTGAGAACATGTGAAATTTGTCTTCCTGAGCCTGGCTTATTTCACTTAACATAATGATCTCCACTTCCATCCATATTGTTGCAATTGACAGGATCTTATTCTTTTTTTATGGCTGAATAGTCCGCAATTGTGTATAGGTACCACATTTTCTTTATCTGTTTGTCTGCTGATGGAACTTGGGTTGCTTCCAAATCTTGGCTATTGTGAATAGTGCTGCTGTAAACGTAGGAGTGCAGATATCTCTTTGATATACTGATTTCCTTTTTTGGGGGTATATACCAAGCAGTGGGATTGCTGGATCATATGGTAGCTCTATTTTTAGTTTTTTGAGGAACCTCCAAACTGCTCTCCATGGTGGTGGTCTTAATTTACATTCCCACCAACAGCGTACGAGGTTTTCTCCACATCCTCGCAAGCATTTGTATAGCCTGTCTTTGGATAAAAGCCATTTTAACTAGAGTGAGATGATATGTCATTGTAGTTTTGATTTGCATTTCTCTGATGATCAATGATGTTGAACACCTTTTTATATGCCTGTTTCCCATTTGTATGTCTTCTCTGAGAAACGTCTACTCAAATATTTTGCCCATATTTTAATTGGCTTATTAGATTTTTTTTCCTATAGAGTTGTTTGACCTCGTTTTATATTTTAGTTATTAATCTCTTGTCAGATGAGTAGTCTGCAAGTATTTTAGTCTATTCTGTGGGCTGTCTATTCTCTTTATTGATTGTTTTCTTTGCTGTGCAGAAGTTTTTCTTTCTTTCTTTTTTTTTTTAACTTGATGAGTTCCCATTTGTCCGTTTTTTCTTTGGTAGCCTATGCTTGTCTGGTATTACTCAAGAAACCTTTGTCCACTTCAATGTCCTGGAAAGTTTCCCCAATGTTTTCTTGTAGTAGTTTCATAGTTTCAGGTTTTAGATTTAAGTCTTTAGTCAACTTTGATTTGATTTTTGTATGTGGTGAGAGATAGGGGTCAAGTCTGATTCTTCTGCGTATGGATAGCCAGTTTTCCCAGCACCATTTATTGAAGAGACTGTCTTTCCCCCATGTATATTCTTTTTAAAAATGAGTTTGCTGTAGATGTGTGGATTTGTTTCTGGGTTCTTTATTCTGTTCCATTGGTCTATGTGTCTGTTTTTATGCCAGTACCATGCTGTTTTGGTTACTAAAGCTCTGTAGTATAACTTGAAGTCAGGTCCTGTGATTCCTTCAGTTTTGTTCTTTTTTCTTCAGATAGCTTTGGCTATTCTGGGTCTTTTGCAGTTCTATATAAAACTTTAAGTTTTTTTTCTGTTTCTGTGAAGAATGTCATTGGTATTTTGATAGGGATGGCACTAAATTTGTAAATTGCTTTGGGTAGTATGGACATTATAGCAATATTCATTCTTCCAATCCATGAACATAGAATATCTTTCCATGATTTTCGTGTCCTCTTCAATTTCTTTCATCAGTGTTTTATAGTTTTCATTATAGAGATCTTTCACTTCTTTTGTTAAGTTAATTTTTAGGTATTTAACTTTATGTGTCGCTTTTGTAAAAGAGATTACTTTCTTCATCTCATTTTCAGATTGTTTGCTGTTGGCATATAGAAATGCTACTGATTTTTGTATGTTGATATTGTATCCTGCAAGTTTGCTGAGCTTGTTTATCAGTTCTAACAGATTTTTTGTGGAGTCTTTAGAGTTTTCCAAATATAAGATTATATCATCTGCAAACAGGGATAATTTGATTTCTTTCTTTTCAGTTTGGATGTCCTTTATTTCCTTCTCTTGTGTGATTGCTCTAGCTAGGACTTTCAGTGCTGTGTTGAGTAACAGTGGTGAAAGTGGGCATCTTTGTCATGTTCTACACCTTAGAGGAAAGGCTTTCAGATATTCCCCATTCAGTATGATACTAGCTATAGGTCTGTTGTGTATAGCTTATATTACGTTGAAGTATGTTCTCTCTATACCCAGTTTTTTGAGAATTTTTATTATGAAGGGATGTTGAATTTTATCAAATGCTTTTTCAGCTTCAATGGGGATGATCACGTACTTTTTGTTCTCCATTTTGTTGATACGATGTATCACATTGATTGATTTGTGTATGTGGACTTATCCTTGCATCCCTGGGGTAAATCCCACGTGGTTATGATGCATGATTTTTTTAGTATGTTGTTGAATTTTGTTTGCAAGTATTTTGTTGAGGTTTTTTTCATCAATATTCATCAGGGATATTGGCCTGTAGTTTTGTGAGTTTTTTTTTTAAAAATGTGTATTTGTCTGATTTTGGTATCAGGGTAATACTGACTTTGTAGAATGAAGTTGGAAGTATTCGTTCCTCTATCTTTTGAAAGTTTGAATACGATTGGTATGAGTTTTTCTTTAAATGTTTGGTAGAATTAAACAGTGAAGCTGTCAGGTCCCAGGCATTTATTTGCTGGGACACTTTTTATTATGGCTTCAGTCTCATTACTTGCTATTAGTCTGTTCAGGTTTTGGATTTCTTCATGGCTTAATTTTGGTAGGTTGTACGTATCTAGGAATTTCATCCACTTCTTGTAGATTTTCCAATCTATTGGCATATAGTTGCTCATAGTAGCCAATAAAGATTCTTTGAGTTTCTGCAGTATTGATTGTAATGCCTCCTTTTCATCTCTGATTTTATTTATTTGGATCTTTTTGCTTTCTTTCTTAGTCTACCTAAAGCTTTGTCAATTTTGTTTATCTTTTCAAAAAACCAACTTTTTGTTTCATTGATGTTTTGTAATTCAATTTCATTTACTTCTGCTCTGATCTTGATTATCTCTTTTCTTCTAGTAATTTTGGGTTTGGTTTGCTCTTGCTCTTCTAGTTCTTTAAGATGAATCATTATTTATTTGAAGTTTTTCTTCGTTTTTGATGTAGGCACTCAAAGCTATAAACTTCCCTTTTAGTACTGCTTTCATTTTATCCCATAGGTTTTCATATGTTGTGTTTCCATTATCATTTGTTTCAAGACAGTTTTCAATCTCCTTAATTTCTTCATTGACTCACTGGTCATTCAGGAGCATATTTTCTAATTTCCATGTGTTTGTATAGTTTCCAAAATTTCTCTTGTTATTGATCCCAGTTTTATTCTATTGTGGTCAGAGAAGATGCTAGCTATTATTTCAGTTATTTTGAATGTTTTAAGACTTGTTTTGTGACCTAACGTGGTCTATCCTTAAGAACGATCCATATGCTACAGAGAAAAATGTGTATTCTGCAGCCATTGGATGAAATGCTCTGTAAATATCTATTAAGTCCATTTGGTCTATAGCGCAGATTAAGTCTGATGTCTCTTTATTGACTTCCTGTCTGGGAGATCCATCCAATGAGGAAAGTGGATGTCTAAGTCTCCAGCTATTATTGTATTGGGGTCTATCTCTGTCTTTAGCTCTAATAGTATTTACTCTCTATATCTGGGTGCCCCAGTATTGGGTGCATATATATTTAGAGTTATTGTATCCTCTTGATGAATTGACTTCTTTATCATTATACATGACCTTCTTTGTCTCTTCTTACAATTTTTTCTTGAAATCTGTTTTGTCTGATGTAAGTATGGCTACTCCTGCTCTTTTTTGGTTTCCATTGGCATGGAATATCTATTTCCATATCTTTATTTTCAGTCTATGTTTGTCTTTAGAGGTGAAGGGTATTTCTTATAGGCAACAGGTAATTGGGTCTTATTTATTTTTTATTTTTTATTTTTCACTCAACCACTCTGTGTCTTTTGATAGGAGAGTTTAGT